AAAGCATTATTTAAAAGAAGTCTAGTTCATAAGTCTCCCTTTCTAAAGTTTGCATTATTTGGGGTGTATTTCCAACAAGGTGGCTGAGGTCTCTTCCCAGAGGAGCATTTGGGAATTAGCTAAAGTGAAACAGTGGTCAAAGGCACTAAAATGTACTTTAAATTCCTTCAATTCTCAGTGTGAGGTACCCCCTGAAGGGTCTCGAGAATAAGTCTTATGAGGATCGGTGGGGGGGGGGGGGGGGGGGGGAAGAAAAAAAGAAAAAAGGGGAGAAAAAAAGATTAAATCTACTTATTCTTACAAAAGAGAATAAATATTTTGTGCATAATACCGCAGTTGTTTTTAAGACCTGCTGCTCTAAGCTCTCTATTTTTTTCTTATTAGTATTTAATGGCACACATAACCCTACCAAAGTCCTTACAGTCTGGGGGAGGTGGGGTGGTTTTTTGTTTTTGTTTTGTTTTGGGGTTTTTTAGGTTTTTCCACATGTAGTTAGTATAATATACCTGCAGTAAGTCTGCAGCAATCCTTTCTTCCACGAATGCTGTACTACAGGCACAGGCCAAAAGGCCAGAATTTCTCAAAACGCACAGAATACTGGCTGCTGTAATTTTAAGTGAATTCCTTGTGCGTGTGCATTTTTTCTTAACAAGTACTCTTTGCTAATCACTTGAAGTACCGGGATTTTGTTTCAGAGGGCAAACTGGCTCAGCAAGCAAAAGAATAAAGAAAAAAAAAAGACAAATAGTCCATTTATAAAAGAGCTCTTCTCATGACTGCAGAGTTACTCCCTGTTCGGCCTCACAGCCAGCAAGAAACCAGAAGGAACATGTAACACCCCACGTGCTCCAATCCACAGCTATTTGCATGTTCTAAGCTGGGAAGCTTTGACTTCTATGCATCCCCCCAAAGGAAAATATGCTCAAAGTTTATTCTTGTCCAAGAATAAATAAAAAATCATCTGCTCCAAAACAAGACTATTCTGTGTAAAATTGGTTTTCAGTTTTTGTTTTTCTTTTGTCTTTTTTCTTCAACATGTAAAGCCAATCAGAAGCTTTGGAAAATGTTAAATTTATTTGGCTAAAACCAGGCATTATACCAGTTCACAATTAAGTTATCCATTTTAATATTAATGAAAATTCTCTGTATTTATTACAGCTCCTAGTAAAACAAAATCTACTAGCTTACTGTTACGTTTTTAAAGTCTATGCAGTTTTCGAATATGCTCTGCTATTTATAATTTCTGTCTTATAACTAATTAGGTTTTATAGCAAAGATAATGACTTAAACTTTCTAACAAGCATATTAGAATAGCCCTAAATGACAAGATACTCCTCTGGATGCCCACTTCAGAGATCAACAAAATAAATAATGAACACAATCAAACATTAAAAACAAATACACCTAGCCTTATTACATGCTGAATGAGAGACAACACCTGGAAGCATATCACACACACCACTACTATAAAATCAACCCAAACTGCACCATGTCACACATCCAAACTCCAGCATCCAGATGTCATTTCATCATCACTGGGTGCAAAGTCCTGGGTTAAGTACAGTCATTTTCTGTAGTGAAACAGCCTGCCAAACAGCCTTCTCTGGGGAAAAAAACAACATACAAATGAAAAAAAGACAGACAGACGACTATGAATGTAGTAAAATACTCGCATTATAAACTGCAAAAGAACAGGTTGTGAAAGTTTTTCAAGAAAACAGTAAGCAGTACTGAAAATAAAAAAGGAAAAAAGCATTCCTCCTCACTTCGTGCTGAATTGTCCCCTCCAGTTCCGTCCTACGCCCCCCAATAAAATGAAGTTTCTGTGATATGCAGGTCCATCTCCATTAAACTAAATCTCACAGCTTCTGCTAAGGGGAGCTTAAATTAGGGAATGAAGGACGGTAAGCCACCGTGTTGTAACAAGAAGTAGTAAAATTCACCTTAGCCACACTCATTACCTTGAAAACGTGGGAATTTTCTGGTAAAGCTTGTGCATGAAGAGCTCTCCCCTGTGGAAAAGTATCTCCTGTCTTCTCTCACAAGTCAGACAGGAAAAAGGGAAAGCAGCAGAAAACGTGCCACCTGGTGAATTCACCCACACCCTCCAGCCCCCGATCACCCATCCCACAGTACTGCTGCCTTTCCCAACAGTTCTGTTACTTAGTGAGACAGGAGGTGTCCATGTTTCCCCTCTCACAGCTCTGCCCATGGAGGGTTTCCGGGGGCCGGGGCTTTCCCTGCCCCACGGCCGCCCGCTGCCCCGGCGATGCTCACGGCTGGCCACGCTGCCGGCCAGGCATCCCGCTGTTGCTCCAAGCAAGGCGCTCGTCTGCGTCTCGCGAGCTGTGTACGGGCAAATCTTTCATTTTTCTTTCATTACCCCGGCATGTACTGTCACTTAATTTTTCTGTATGCAATCCTTCCTGACAAATATGATCTGCTGCCTGGTAATTCGTCTGACGTTCATTCTGTTCCTTGCTCTAA